CCCAACCCTCATGTGTATCCAGGAGTTTGCATCGAGACTGTCAACCCTGAAGATTTGACAGCTAGCCCAAATCCTATTCTGATTAATTGAGGCCCCGAGAGAGCTGCTGGGAAGACATGAGAATTTTAGTGGTGTCATTATATTGCTACATATCATATCGTATATATATATATATATATATACTGTGCATACATATTATAGGGTGTAGGGGTTTCGGGCTTGAGGTTTTAAGGGTTCAAGGTTTCGGATAGGTCCTCTTATGTTAATTCATATATTGTCCTAATCGGGGATGGGTGCATAGCCAAACTACATAAAGTAAATACAGACGAGAGCCAGCTCTGTGGCAGCAGCAGGAGGCCCGCCGCGATGAGTCGGAGTCAGCTGCCTTGGCCCAGGCTCGTGACGCTGGCTAGCAAACCCAGTACGTATTACATATAATAATGTTTTCAATTTTCGACTCTGGTATGGGTTCTTCTCCGGATTCTGTTTAAGTCTCGGTTGATGGAATCTCCAGGGCCTTGGATTCAGGGCCTGTGCTGATTATAGGGTCGATGCTTCAGTGGACAACCAGGACTCCACCCAGACGACAAAGACCGATGGCTCCATGCTTGCTGCCTCCAACCAGACGACGCAGACCCATGGCTCCATGCTTGCTGGCTCCAACCAGACGACGCAGACCCATGACTCCATGCAGCTTGACGCCTCGAACCAGACGAATCACACCACTCCCATGCGTGGCCCCTCAACCCAGGCCAATTACCGATGATTCTATAGCTACATGAGGGTCCCCCAAAATTATTAACCCGAATTCGTATTGCAAATCACACATAGCTATAGATTGTACACCATACACACCCCTAGGGCCCTTCCCAAGTACAGCCACCGTACAGGAGATGCATGCAGCGGCAGTGGCCGAGGCAGAGTCCTTGCAAGGGGGTGCCCAGACGGCTGAGGTGGCTGAGGCCCCGAAGAGACAGGGTGCAATCTACAGGGCCATCGAGGAGGGTCTGATCGATGAAATCCTACGGCGCCCAGAGAGCTTTCAGATCCAGGACGCTGTAATTTATTATATAGAATACTTCTAGCTTATAAAACTTCCTGAGTTGATGCTCTGAGGCTATTCACAGTTATAAATTAGGCCTATCATTTATAATAGGGAGAAGCTAGCTTGCAGGAGGCGACCTTGAAGCGCAAGGAGAACGAGACTTATGAGGAGCACATTTTGCGTATTGCGCACAATGTGTACATGAAGTTCAACCGCAGCACAAAAAGCCCCCTCATTGCAGATAAATCAGTCCGAAACCCAAGCAACACAACCACTGGCACTACCTGGCTAGCTAGCTATATATGCAACTGAGGCAAGGCCTGCCCTCCCGAAGTGATCGATGCTGCGAAGAAGGCCAGGAGCGCTGGTGGGAAGATCGAGAATTTGTTCCTCGATTACCTGAGATGCAGCGGCAACTGGCTCAGCAGTACACTCGTTATGCAGACCAAGCGGGTGAAGGACAAGGAGTTGAAGATGGAAGAAGCCTATATCATGTTTAAAGACCTCAAGCAGAAGCACGGGTCATTGATGGCCAAATCGATCAGAGATGAAAAGCGGGCGATGCAAGAGGCTCTCGACAAAGATCCCAAAGCTGACCCGGACACTTTGCCCTGGGTCCTTGCTCATCCGGATCTTCCGGGTTCCGAAGCAGCTGGACTGAATATTATGGCATGGACCCTGGACCCTGAATCCTAAACACCAATCGATATCTGGGTTTCTGATTTAGCTTGAGCTGGATCCATAATAACATATACTATTCCTAGGAGCACGAGCTGCTGCGCGTCTGGGACAGCGCGAAAATCATCTCGAGCTCCAAACAGTCGACAGAGACGAGTATCGCTACAGAGCTGGAGTTGGATGGGAACCAGACTCGGGAGATCCTGCTCCTTGCTTCTGACAAGAATAGACCTATCTTAATATTTATACTCTTATCTCTCCCCTTTGTCATCCCTAATCTAACAGAACCCTAAACTTACACCCTGACACATAATTAAGGCCTCTGGCTTTGCAGCTTGGAGACAGAGCGTCGGCAAGTAATGCTGCATCCTCCGGCGACTCCTGTTTGCCGCGGCCGTATGGATTGAAAACCCGGGGCTCGGCTGAAGATTTGGCCAGGGAGGCTGAGGAGTACAAGAAGCTGCGCAAAGCAGGCAAGGGTGGCTTCGCGAACCAGGTCAAAAATAAGACGAAGCTTGTGAACGACAAGATCGAGGACTTGGATGCCGTGCAAGATGTGCTTCAGGCCAAGCCGCCACACATGTTACTTGTCTGGTGTGATTAGCCATAAACTCGGTAACTCCGAACCCGATCATACTAGTATTAAGAATCTCCAACCCACATACAGTTCTATCTGTGCACATAAAGCTAATATCCAGGAGGTTTCAGGTAAAACCCACAATCAATCCAACCCGGCCCTAAACCCAAAACCCTTAAACCCCTAACCCTAAACCTTAAACCCTTAAACCCCACCCCCTAAACCCTATATGTATGATCGATCATGAGGTCGGAGCCTTTGCGCAAGGGCTACATGGAGGAGCTCCAGCTGCATCGCGAGGCAATGCTGACGTCCTTGCAGAATCTGAAGGCACAGTAGCCAACTTAGGGATTGGTTAGGTTTGGGTTTGGGTTCACTACATGTATGTATATATTTATATATGTATATATTCTAGGTGCTAATTGAGGCTCCGGACTATAGCTCAATCATATGGTCGAGGGACCCTGCAGTACCAATGCTAGTTTTGGTGGATGGAGCGGGTCGACAGTTGTGTTGCTTGTTTTGTTTTGGATGTATCGGGTTGGTGTGTCTGCATTTCAAAGTTTGGGTGAGGCTTGACGGTTTAGGGTTTACAGGGCTTCGGGTTTTCGGGTTCAGGTTACCCTGTTTCAAGGTCTGAGGGCTGTGGGGGGGGATAGTTAGGGGTTTGGGGCTTCTGGGCTATAGAGAGTGGTTTGAAGTTAAGGATTTTGGCGATGGAATTGGATCGGTCTCAAGGCCGCCATCAGAGCCTAAACCCCAAATCCTCAAGCCCAACACCCTAAATCTAAGTTCCGAAAACCCTATAAGTGCCCAAAGCCTCTAAAAACTCGACATGCTCAGTATCCGCACGAAAGCTTCACCCTAAGAACCCGAAGCCCTACACCCTCGGCACCTCAACCCCTGATTCACAAGATAATTGACCCCTGATGGTGAAGCTTGGATCCGAGGCTGATGAGCTAGAGGACAGCCCGGAGAAGCAGCAAGCATGCTTGGAGGCCCTGGCTGAAGTGCTGAAGGCATACCAGGACGCTGCATCCATGATCAAGAAGAAGGCAGTGCCTTGATCGAGGTTACTAGTGAGAGTGTGTTGACCGGTCCTTAATATTAAACTTACAGTACGTGTGGCTGAGCAACCCAGGCCGAGCCAAAGCCCAAGCCGGAGGCAAAATCGAAAGCCAAGGCCAAATCCAAGGGCAAAGCCAAAGCAAAGGCTAGCAACAAGTGATCTCCAGCATGTGCTGGACATGGTCAGGTGTGCAGCAAAGCTAGGCTTAGGGAACTGCCGGTGCATACAAGCTTGCTGTTGCCAGGCAGCAAACATAGAAATGATGGTGCAGATATGTCTTTAATATAATATAGGTATACATATCGAAAAGAGCCCGGCAACATTCCAGCTTGAGAGTAAGCTTGCTGTGGGCCCGGGGCTCTACTCGATGTGCGCCCGTGGTGTGCCGTAGCTGCACTGTGCACATTTTGTGACCTCTTTGATCTTCGTCATGTGTGTGTGGGCTGAACCTGCATACGCTTCTCGATTGCTGTATGCGCAGTCGCCATTTAAATTCCTCGAACAAAGAGATCTGGCTTCTCCTGATCAGAAACGAGTGGGCTTTTCAGTGCAGTGCTGCAGTGCCTGCAGCAAAGTGTGTGTTGACCGATCTGTGCTTGGCTGCTGCCCTACGCAGGTGATGCTCCTGCCGATATCGGCCCTCTATCTCGCCATGTCTTGAAGTGCACTGGGAAGGGGGACTCGGGTTTGAAATGAAATTGCAATTAGCCCACACCCTAAACCCCAAAGCCTAATCTTTAACACCCACAAAGAAACCCAACCTTAATCTAAAGCCGAAACCCCGACCGGATCAAGCATTCTCTGTTCCATAACCCAATAAAAGAACCCCAACCTCGCCCTGAAGCCCAAACCCCAAACAAATGAAGCTGCATTCTCTGTTCCGTAATCCAAACAGAACCCTTATGTACCTTAACCGAGAGCCCGAACCCCAACCAGATGAAGCTTAAGCTGTCCTCTCCCTTCATAATATGTATATACAAAAGAACCGGCCTAACCTTAACCTTTATAAAGACCGTACCCTCTGTTCCGTGCTCCAAGGCCCCGAACCCCAACCAGATCGAGCTGTGCTCTTTGTCCCATAATCCAATTATTATTAATAGACCCCAACTGCAACCTAAATCCCGAATCCCAACCAGTTCAAGCTGCATCCCCCATTCCGGACTCCAGGACCTCAGCTTTTGTGGAGCTGCTGCGATGCTGCGGCATGGACACAAGGATATGGGGCCGGGACTACAGTGGGTGCTCATCCTAAGGTTTCGTCAAGGCTAATTACAAATATTTATAGTTCTTGGTTCCAGTTCTTCAAAGACTCTACACAGAAACCTCGGGTTTAAGGCTTAGGGTTGTTTCTGGGTCCAGGAGGTAGAGGCTGCTGGAGGAAATTTGGGCCTCGTGGGAAACAAGCTTCGGCGTGCCGGCTGTGACGGCAAGCACCCCTCGAACATAGAGCGTGACATGCTACGCGCGGCAACGAAATCTATGGGCTCTGACACGTGGCTTGAGATTTCAAGCTTTTGCAGCTTCGCTTTCGATTCTGGGGCCATCTTCATTAACAGAGATCTAATCCGAGGTTCCTATGTCCTATGTTCGGGTCCCGATGCGGACCTCGATGTCGGATGACACTGTGGTGCAAAAGTGCTCCAGCTTCTTTAGACTTTCAGGGGTTTGCAACCAAGGTTGTTGGTTTCGGGCATACCTGAAACTTGGAAGGTTAGGGTCTACGGGTCTCGGGTCTGGGTTCGAGGCTTCTGGGCTTGGTGGATGGCTGCCTTCCAAGGACAATGCCTGTTATCCTGCCTCATGATTTGCTTGCCTTCATGCACAGCAATGGAATGCAGGAGATAGACGAAGGGGCTTGTCGCAAGCACTGGGAACATCTTACCAAATTTACATCGTGGGCAGCCGGACACCCTTGCAACACTGAGCCCACGTCCAGTTCCCAGCTTCCAGTTGCAACATTCTTGTATGGCGATGATATCAAGCATAGCCAGAACGAAAAGTTGACGGTGATGTATCTGGGCTACAGTTTGGCCGACAAGAAGATGGACTCCATGAAAAGCCATTTTCCACTATTTGTGATACGTGAGGCTATCTATTGGTGCAAACCGGCCCTAGGAAAGCCCAACAATCCCAAAGGGTCCTGTACTTAATCGTAGAATGTAGGGTTTCCATATTATTAGGAATTACTATGTTACGATTTAGGGAAGTTCCCCCATAACAGTACATAGGACCCTTTGGCATATACTACATGTATAGAATGAAACCTTGGCCCAAACCCGTGCCGAATCCTGAGCCCTAACAGGCACTGAGCTGTGGCTACGCAACACTCCAAGCTTACCTCAAGCCTGTGCTCTATCGGTCAAGAACCTTTTCGATGGTCATAGGTCTATATGTTATATAATTAGTTCCCTGAACATGTAACTATCTAATCTAGAACCTTACCAGGTCATCCAATCACTGAATGCAGCCATGCGCGGCTTCTGGCCAAGCACTCCGCTGCTCACCTCGGATGGCAGTGTGGACTCTGCTGTTCCACTCTCACAGCAGCCTTTGGTGGTTCACAACGGCAATGTGTGCCGCTTTCCGGTCACCGAGATCCGCGGTGACTGGAAGTTTCTCAAGGCATAATATTAATATTGTCAAGCTAACTACATGCAATAAATCCTATGTTCGAACAGGCTTCCTTTAAAATTTTATAAAGGGGCAGGGTGCTTCCACAAATAGGAATTGATGAACATGCGGTGTGGCTGGAGCAGCTCGTCGGTTTGTCACCATTGCCTTGTTACGCAGAAAGACTATGTGAGTGTACCATCGACATTGGATACGGCTCCGAGACGTTCTTTCCAGAGCTTTGTGAACGACTGTGCATGCCAAGACAGTGTCTTGCATTGGCTGGGGCTTATTTTAAATAAGCTTAGGCTGGGTGTTTAAACATGCAACATCTACAACACATAAAGCTTCTAGGTTGACTATCTCCATCCTATTTCAAGGCTACATCCTTGGGCTCTCCGGCTTCGACCAGGGTGTTTTAAGATGGTGCTCCTTGCATTCTTTGAACCTGGGCATGCTGGTCTGGGCTTGTGGAGGCTGTTTGGAGATGCTCCTCAAGCAGGAGCCCAGATACATCAATAATTCTATTTTGGGGTCTATATGCAGTCCTGCCTTAAACTTAAGAATAGGACTTAGGGTTTTAGGGGTTTAGGGTTTAGGGTTTTAGGGTTTAGGGTTTTAGGTTTTTGGGTTTTGGGTTTAGGGTTTAGGGGTTTAGGGTTTTAGGGTTTAGGGTTTTAGGGTAATACCCATGGAGGACCTGTGGCCTGGAGATTCGAAAGATAAAAAGCTCAAAGCCGCCTACGCCGACTTCTGCACATGGACAAGAGCTCACCGAATTGTGTGCGGCGGTGTCCTGTAAGATAACCCGGGAGCCTTAAACCCATAGCGATAATTTAAGCTTCAGGAATCCTAGGCCTGAACAGCCCCCTAAACCCTAAAACCCCAAACCCTAAACCCTAAACCCTAAAACCCTAAACCAAAACCCTAAACCCTCAAGCCTTGAACACTCAATCCCTCAGGCATTCACAGCCTGTGTTCAAGCCGAAGAGCCTCCGTGGCCAGAGCAAGGAGGTCGAGCTGGCTGCGAAGGCGTACAATGTGCCTTGGATAGGGAGTCCAGTACACTAGTGTTTGTTCCTATGGGGTTCTAGGGCCGGGGTTTGGAGCTTGCTCCAGCACCAAGGCTCGGGTTGTCACTGCTTGGCTAGCAGATGTGACTACGGAACTCATCCAGGATGAGGATTACCAAACACAGAGCCTGAAGATGCTGGCCCAGTGCATGTGGCTGGATTGAATAATATAGAGAGATGTCAAGGGTTGTTTTCGAAATTGCAGTGCATCAAGGCACTTCCTTGGGAACCTCATGAACACCGTTGAGCAATCCCCCCGGTACCTCGAGACCTCGAGCATCCAGAGCATCAACGAATGCACAAATGCTGCCATGGCAGCATACGTGTCGCTGGCTGCAGCCAGTGCTGCTGATCGTACCGGCTACTTTCCCATTCGTCCCAAGCTTCATGTGCCCTTGACTTTGTGAGGCTAAGGGTTCTTGTCTTTAGGCTATAGGTATGGTTGGGGTCTAGCCTAGGAACATGGGGTCTCTTGGGGTTTGCACTCTTTAATTTCACCAACGGACTGATGTTTCAGCTCAGGCTGTGCAAGAACTGGCATACTTTGCAAGCCGGGAGAGCTGCCAGGCTTTGAAACCCTGAGCTGATTCCTTAACCCCATATTGAAAGTAACACCCATAGCCAGTCATCTAACCCTAGGACCCTTAAGCTAGACAAATCAGGGCTACTGGAATAGGGTTTAGGAGTTTCGAAGTGTTAAGGGTTGTAATATCGTGCGAGCGCGGCTTCCTGGCAGATATCTAAGGATTGAATTTTCGCTATTACCACACATTCATCTCGGAGGATGCCAATGGACGACTGGTGGGTTCCTCTGTCCAAACAGACCCCTACTGTGCCCCAAAACCCAATATCACATGTACAAATATGCTGGAAACCCAAGGAATCGCTTGTCGAGCTCATGCAAGGTCTTTGGAACGCTCGACATTGAACAGGTACTACATGTGGCTACTCGGATGTTATAATTGTTCGATCTGCTGTTACGTAGGGTTCTAGCGCCTTGGGATTTATCTTCCAACCCCCCAATATGTGTGAACCTATAACCCAGTCCGATCTGGAATTCAGCAATCAAATCCGAGGCTCATGGCAGACCACTTGCAGCAGGATTCGGATGGCATTGGTTCTGACGATGAGAACTCGTAGGCCCTAGAACTAGCCCTTAGCAACTTTACAAGCTAAACTTTGAT